ACAGAATGTTTGCAAATACTTCTGTAATAGGTGCCAAAATAGACAGTTGCATTTTTCTCAATTTCACATTTTCTGCACTAATAAAAATTGCAGGTCTATTAATTTATGTTGTGTCAATTATGTTGGTCTAACAGCATACTAACAATGCACAAGACGCTGCACTCATTTACTGTTGTTCGAGGAATTTCCAAATCCAGCCATTTCACTAGAAATCCATGCAATCTGGAATTTTGCAAGAGAGAGCGAAAGATTTCCCCACACAGATTTCACAACATTTTCAAGTTGGACATCAGTTCGCATTCGCTACAGTATTTACAATAGACAATGGGATTTTTTGCCAAAATCTTGCCAAAAATGTGACTGCACCTTAAGACATGGAAACAGCATGCCAGCAATGTGCTAAAACATGCTAGCAACATGTTGAAACTTGCAAAACATGCTAGCAACATGCTAGGAACATGTTAGCAACAATCTTAAAACATGATATAGAATTTACATTTACATTTAGTCATTTATCAGAAGCTTTTATCCAAAGCGACTTACAAATGAGGACAATGGAAGCAACAAAATCAACAAAAGAGCAATGACATACAAGTGCTACAACAAGTCTCAGTTAGCTTAAAGGTGCAATAGGTGATTGTCTTCAGAAACATTTTTTGTTATGCTGGTTGAAAGTCTCTTCACATCCGGATAGCAATCATTAAGTTAAGTGGTCTAAATGTATTTATCTGTATTTATATATTCTGTGGAAGGGGTAGGACCAAGACATTTTCGTCCAATCAAAACGCTCGGTCCGAGTGTTTTAATTGGCTTTCCTACCTGCCTGTCAACATATGTATTAGCATACCTCTGCGCACCCAGTTCGCGCAGACAGGATACGTCATCAGCGCGTTCACGCTCGCTGTGCAGACAGAGCGAGAATGGCAGACAAACATCAACAACCCGATCTTCCTTCCTGGTATTGTAGTACTTTTAATGTTTTCTCACCGTGAATGTCACATGATGTAGCCCAGCGGTTCCCAATTCCAGTCCTCGCGCCCCCCGCTCTGCATATTTTGCATGTCTTGCTTAGGTAACACACCCGATTCAAAATCCAGCTCGTTAGAAGTGAGCTACGTGCATGAACTAAAATATTACTATTTTTGGTATGACACGTTTAAATAAGATCAGCACATAAAGTTGACCAAAGGACAGAGAATGGTCTCAAAAATTGAAAGAAACATCTCTAAATAGAGGAGTATAGGAGAGAAAAGGAGAGGACAATGATCATGTCAGTTGTCCATCTGACAGCATATTTTGTGCATCAGTTATGTGTGCAGGATGTGTGTGTCAATATGATGACAGGCTCAGAAATGAACTCTGAGCTTTAGAGTGGCCTCATCGATGAATAATTGCCCTATAATGGCTGGTCTTCCATCTTCCATGAGAGAAGCTATAGGGATCAATAGCCAGAAAGCAGCAGACAGGAGGCAGGCATGGTCTTGGTGAAGAAGCTGTTATCTTCCTTGAACCCTGCTCTTAACAATCAGCATTATCTATTGCGCTGTATAAGGATTTTTGATCTTAACCTATTTGGCTTAAGTTTGACTGTGTCTCAAAACTTCTATACACAATTAAAGAAGAATTCAGAAACATTTTAGAGAAAAATGATTGCATGTCGCACCACAGAGATGTCAAGTCAACTACACTTGAAAACTATACTACACACAAAAAGTAAGAACATCACAGAATATCTTGCTGTATGACCACATGATCAGATAAACTGTGAAATTAAATACTGGATGCATTTATAAATAGTCCTTCCCACAGTGGCTCTCACATGCAACAAATACCAGAGCTGAGGTCAGAAAACAACTCTGCATGTCATACTGAACGGCTCTTTTTGTCATATTTTAAGAATGTAACAAGTTTGTGAACTGTCATGCATCATGTTGGCACATTAGCACATAGGGTAAGATACAAATAGCCTATGGCAAGCGGAATTATTTTTGAATATTTAAATGTACTAGTATATATTTCCATGTACTTACTTTTTTAGACACTAGTATCTATTTGATTAGGTACTAGTACTAATTCATAGCTACTAGTGCTTATTCATTAGCTAGTGCTTATTCTTTAGGTACTAGTATCCTTTTTGAAAATACTAGTATTTATTCCATACAGACAGAAATTGTCTACTGGGAAAATAAATTCAAATATATGTCAACTGTTTTGTTAATCAGTGCTCTGTAGATTAGACTAAAACTCAATTATTCAGATATTTCATGTATTGCCATATGTTCTAGCAACTATTTGAGAGCATAACACTTTATTATAATGAAAACATATTTTTGTCAGTAATGTACATAATGTTTTTATGTTGTTCATTGTACAAGTGACCTCTGGTGGCAGGATGACGGCACTACGCTAATATATATATATATACGGCACTACGCTAATATATATATATATATTAGCATAGTGCCGTCATCCTGCCACCAGAGGTCATTACTGACAAAAATATGTTTTCATTATAATAAAGTGTTATACTCCCAAATAGTTTCAAACGATTAGACCAAATAGTTGAGCTAACATACAAAGCCAGTTAGGACTGTACTAACAATCAGTTTCATTCAGTATGTAAATATGTCGTATTACCACGTGAACTCTGATTGGATGGTTTATAGGTACTCATGTAATGCTTGAATGAAAATATCTCCAAATAAATTCTCACTAGTTCCTTACGAGGTTGAAGATATCTCCAATCAAATTGGTACTAGTACTTATTCTGTTTTTGATATTGTCTAATTATCAGACTAGTAATTATCCCAATAGTGACTAGTATCTAGTAAGTATTCATTAGATATTACGGTAGTACGTATTCATTAAATACTATAACTTTTCATTAGATTCCATTAGTACCATTTAATGGATGCTAGTAACTATTAATTAGGTACTAGTACTTATGTATTAGACATTAGTAGATTTTGTAATTGTCACTAATAACAATTATTATCTTAGTCACAACTGTTTGTTTTAGTCACAATCTTATATTATCACTATAGTCCGATTTCTTGTAAACAAACAACATCATACTGTGTCTCTACAGTATGTTTCTACAGTATGAAGGCACCCAACATGCAATGCAGTATGAATAGATTATGCTGTACAGTTGCTTCGCTATTGTTTATTATTATTATTATTATTATTATTATTATTATTATTATTATTTCCATCAACAAAAAAAAACACTGATTTCACAGTAAATTTCTGACTACAGTAATTTATTATAAAATAATACTCTTTAATCCTGAAAATTCCTGGCAACGTTTTTACAGTTTACCATTGACATATAGTACTAGTATCTAATAAATAGTATATATTTCATTTAGGTACTATATCTAATGAATAAGTACTAGTATATTTTAAAAGGTAGCTACTAGTGCCTAAAGAATAAGCACTAGTAGCTAATGAATCAGTACTAGTACATAATGGAATATATACTATTATCTAAAAATAAGTACTAGTAGCATGAAAATAGATACTAGTAGTTTTTAAACATTAAAAGTTAAACGGATTGCCATAAATAGCCTCTGTTCCCTTTCAGTCGGTTACAATCACCTCCATTCTTCCATATGCACCTAAGGAATGTTCATATGTGTATTTGCTTCCGAAACCTCCTTCGGGAAGGTTGGAGCTTCCGTAACGTCCCTGTTCCAAGTAGAACGGGTACGTTTTCCCAGTGTTATCCAGTCTTACTCAGTGGGTAGTGCCATAGCAGCAGTAGCTGGTCCTCTTGTGCAAGCCCTGGCCTACGCCAAAAAGTAGGGGTGCAGGTGGCTTCCACAGGACACTGGAAGGGGCAGTAGCTGTGGCCCTTTGGTAGGATCCCAATTTCGTCGGTCATCCGACGTGACGTCGAGAGTGACCGACTGAAAGGGAACGTCTCGGTTACGTATGTAACCCTCGTTCCCTGAAGGAGGGAACGGAGACGTCACGTCCCGTCGCCACAGCTCCTGTACCACCGCTGAGCGGCTGGGTCACCGGCTCGGCTCCTCAGCGAAAACCTGAATATGCGTTGCATCTGCTGCCTACTTATACTCACGCTGTGATCAGCAGCAGCTGGATGCAATAATCGCATGCCAATGTGCATTGGCTCGTTTAGTTTACACTCGAAGTAGATTGGTCCCTCTAAGCGAGATCCCAATTCGTCGGTCATCCGACGTGACGTCTCCGTTCCCTCCTTCAGGGAACGAGGGTTACATACGTAACCGAGACGTTCTGTGCTTGTGTCTGTCTATTTCAGTGTTTGGAGAATAGGCTGGTCACACACTCAAGTCCTGTTTTGAGAATGTTTTCTCAGTTCTTTTGTAAAAGAAAACAAAATAGCTGTTGATAAGACAATGAGCAATGCAACAAGTGTGATGCAACCAATGACTGCCTCCTCTCTCTATCGTTATCAGTCTCCTGAGATTTAAACTCCCTTTTATAGCCATGAGTGCTTACTATGAGCAAAGGATTACAATCAACTGAAACAAAAGCATTAGTATTAAAAATGATGGTAAAACAAATCTAATATGTAAAAACATAACATAAAAATACAAATCTTTAAAAAATACATATGATTATATAAAATCAAATAAAATACTTTTTTAATAATTTTAATTTTAATAAAATAAATATAAAAGTTTGTATATACTGTTCAAACATGTTTAATTTTTTTAAGTCTCACAAAGGCTGTATTTATTTGATCATTTGATCAATAATAACATATTATTATTATATATTGTTACAATTTCGAATAGCTATTTCTATTTCTATTTTATTATATTATGTAATGTAATTTATTCCTGTCATGGCAAAGCTGTTTTTTTACTCCGGCACACACACACACACACACACACACATCCAGAAATGTGCTATAAATCATACTAATGTCTCTCAATCACTGTTTATTGTTCTTGTTAGGAAAAGTCTTTGCTGGCTTGATAATTGGTGCCCATTTCTTCCTTTTCTCTCAGGAGTGTGGTACGCTCAGGCATTGGAGGTGAATACAGGGAAGGTCCATTTCATAGAAGTGATGAATGGAAGTTCAGTACTCTTACCCTGCACTTATGCCAGCTGCATTGGCATTAAAAACCTTTACTTCAACTGGCAGTTCAAAGACAACGGGACATTGATTAAGGTGAGAGATTTAGCCATGTCTCAAACATACTTGTTTTCATGCAGTTCATGCAAACAAAAGGTGTGGATTAATTGTCCAAATACTCTCTGATGGCACTGTCTGTTATTCTTTCCCTCAGCTCTGTGAGGCGACCATCCCAGCAGAAGGAGTAGAACCTAATGTGAAAATCTATCATGAGCGGGTGGAGTTTGTCGGCTCCAGCAAACAGAGTAACATCTCCATCTTACTGCATAACGTCACCTTTGAGGACCAGGGAGATTACATCTGCTTTGCCCGCAACCCCAAGGAGAAGGAACGTAATCATAGTGCAGTTTTCACTCTTTTTGTGGTGGACGAATGTAAGTGTGATTCTTTCCATTATGTTTGGTGTTTACCCACTCAGATCATCTCAATATGTTACTGTCTTCGCAGTGAAAGTGGTGGACAACACATTGACCGTCATCATTGTGTCCGTGCTTGGCGGGGCCATAGGTCTGATCATTCTCATCATGGTGGTGAAAGCTGTAGTCCTCGCCATTCTAAACAAGGTCCAGGAGAAGAAGTAAGTTTTATCCTGGGCAAAAATTTTACAGTAATGAAACTTCCCATAGTTTGTATTGCTAGATAAAAACCGAATGAATAAATTTGAACCTGCCCTTGTTTTCTAATTAGATACTTGGTAGATATTACCATGTATCTTTATTGGTATGTTAAACACATGACATTTTTTTTGACGGACAGACAGACAGACAGAGAGACAGACAGATAGATAGATAGATAGATAGATAGATAGATTACACTACAAACACACTGACCGACAAAGAGATAGATAGCACATTTTCATTTATAATGGGCAGTGGTTTGCAACAGCAGGGAAAAATATGCAGAGTCATCCTCCGTTCTCCGTAAATCGTGGCATGTGTGATGCACACTAACAGAAGCGACCCACCAGGGCCCAGTACTTGTCTGGTGTCTTTGACATGGTGACTGTTATAAAATGCCTGTGAGACCAGAGCAAATGTCAATAAATATCATTCTGTTATTTTGAGTAAATGTCAATAACAAGGCATTCTGGGTAATGGTGAAAGGGGTCATCCATCCCAGGACAACATTTCCCTATTTCCTCTCTCTGATTCATTGTAACTTAAAGGGATTGTTCACCCAAAAATGAAAATTACCCCATACCCTCAAGCCATCCTAGGTGTATATGACTTTCTTCTTTCAGACGAATACAATCGGAGTTATATTAAAAAGTGTCCTTGCTCTTCCAAGCTTCATAATGGTAATGAATGGTTGTTGATATTCAATAGTCCAATAGAAGTCCAATAAAGTGCATCCATCCATCATAAAAAGTACTCCATACAGCTCCGGGATAATGCTAACCGTCGTACATGAAAGAGGGTGACCGTGATTTCACCAAGTACAACATGTTCCTGGATCAACATCCTTGTTGATCCTGGAACAACATTCCAATTAACCAATCAGGATTGAGAGATACCTTTTCAGGAAATATCTGTTTTAGGCTTATGATCAGGGTTAGGTGCTTCTACACCCTTGTTAATCAGCTATCATTTCCCACTGATTTTAGGAATAAATTATGGGTAGGGTTAGGTTTAGGGGTAGGGATTGGGTTTAGTCTACATGTTTGGACAGTAATGTTGATCCAGGATCAACAAAAGATGTTGATCCAGGAACATGTCTTACTTGGCAAAATCACGGCGACCCATGAAAGAGTGGCGTTCCAGCGGATAACATAGGCACAGCGTAAGCTCCTGTGAGAAGTGACGAAGTGGAAGCGCAGGGGAGAGAGCAAAACAAAACACCAGTCACAAATTAGAATTACAAAACGAGGATTTGTAAAGAAAAATGTTGGAGAGGAGATTGGTTTTCCTCGGTTCTCGAGAAACTTGGTTCTTGTGAGACTAGCATATTCTCACCGGAGCGTACACTACACCTACGTCCCATGTAATCCGCAGGAACACCACTCTCTCGTGAACGTGCATATTGCAGTTAGCAGAAGCTCTCCTTTTTTTTTTTTTATGAGGTAAAGTTAAAAATGTCTCACTTTCCTGAATTATAATGAAGAAATTCTTGAAAAGAAAAGCTTATTAAATTGTTTATACTGTAATCTTCAAACATTTAAATTGAGGCTGTCAATCGATAAAAATTTTTAATCAAATTAATCACATCCTTTTTCTGTGATTAATCGCGATTAATCACACACATCATGAAATTAAGCATAGACCATTTATCTTGTTTCAAATGTTTATTTTGTCATCATTTGCTATATCCAGCAAAGTATTATCCAGTCGAGAAAACGTAGTTTGCGTCTCATCTGGCCATACAGCAGTGGGATGTGTTGACAATCCGTTCAGTCTGTACTTCATACAGCGCAACGGGTGAGGGCTTGCGCTCTTCAGTGACAATCACAGAATATGACAGAGCTTGTGTTTTAAAGCGAAACACTGGAATGAATAATTCACTTAAAACGTAACGCAAGTCTCTGTTCTCTCTGCAATCTCTGATGTAATCAGCCTGGTTTCCTTTATATTAGCGCTGTTTTGGACAGATTGTTTGAATGCATTCGCTTACTGGATCATTGGACTGAAAACTTTCCCGGAGCTTAGCAGCTTAAAATGATCTAATCGCAAGCAGAGAAGCAAAATTGGGTTAAAGGGTTAGAATAGAAATTGTGCTTTAGTGATTTTGCGTTAAATATTTTAACGCATTAAGGATTGTAAAATTAATCGCATGCGTTAACGCGTTAACGATGACAGCCCTAATTTAAATATGATGTCATAGAGAAGACACCTTGAGATGCTTAGGTATATTTCTAAGAACTTGGCATATATGTTCTGAACAACATTTTTGAAATATGTTTGTTGTTGTTTTTTTTTGTTTGTTTGGGTTTTTTTTGTCAACCACACTCATATGTGTCATTGATCCTACAATGTCTGTCATTTTTCCTCTTTCTTATAGTAAAGAGTGCCTTGTGAGCTCTACAGGGAATGACAATACAGAAAATGGCCTCCCGGGATCCAAAGCAGACAGCAAACCGACACCAAAGGCATGAAAAGAGCATGTGTGTGTACATATATGAGCATATGTATACATGCATAACAGAATCATAACACAATGAAAGAAAGTCATAACAATGGACAGTTTTATTCTCTTTATCTCATGAGAAAAAAAAAATGCTACCTATAAATATGTGGAAATATATATTTTAGTTTGTGCTTGAGGAAAAATACAAAGTGCTGCAGGCTGGATCACACACACCCTTTACTGGACTGAAAGGCATAAAAAATATTCAGATAGCAGATTATAGGAGTGTGCTTGCATTCTGTTCTTGTCTGTGAGACACAGCACACACACACTGCCTTCTTCACAAACTGCCATATCCTTTCAATGCTCAACAGCACAAGACCCACATAAGGAAATGTTTGCGATAAACTTCCAGTGCAACTTTACACATCTTCACACTGCATTCCAAAATAACCTGAGGTGGAATCTCTCACTGAGTAGTAAAACTAACTCAGAAAAATCTTTCTGGGAAAATACTAAACAATTTACATATAAAAACCATGGGTGCCTCTTTAAATTGGAATATGTTTACCACCAATTCAAGCAGCTAACTGAGTCTGATTATTAACCACTCCCACTAATTGTACAAGTGATTTTGAGGTCATAAAAAGCAGGATGCGAGTGTACATGAAGGCCAGAAACACACTTGATGCAATAGCACCTCTTGTGGCAATGCTGATAATACAACACATACTTGCAGTACATTACGAATGACACATTTTATGTTTGAAAATTAGGTTGTGTAGAGTATTTTTCATGCCTAAAAGTGGTGTCTAGAAGGGGTGGGGGGGGGGGGAATAATCAGACAAGGGGTGTATATCCAGCATCCAGCCCAGCACGGTTTATTATATTTATTTATTTTTCAGCTTTTTTTTCTGCTTTAGATAAAACACAGGTGCCTGTAAACGCTTCAAGCTCCACATGCTTCCTGGGAGCCTTCAAATGCTATATAAATAAATTAATGCTCACATAAAAAAGCAAAAAAAAAAAAAGACAAAAAAAAA